CTTCCTCCCAACACCTTGGGAAGTATTGTACAATATGATTCTATTCAGTCCACATTTTTATCAACACGATCACCCTCCCCTGCAGCCATCATTCCATTTTAGAGCACAGCCCTACAGGTCTTTTTTCCCCTTTTTGCAATATCAAGATATGAGGAAGATGAATGAAAGTTTCGTGCATGTTTTTTGTCAGTGTGTTTTTATAGCTCCCACGAACAGTGATGGACTTGGCAGCCTGGAGACTGAAATCCTCTCTTTAATCACAGGCCAGGTATAGTTCAGCAGAAAGACATATTTCTATACGTAGCCCCTGTAGCATGTCTAAGCCCTGAGCTGGGAGAGCCTTATCTTCTGTAAGTGAAAAAAAAGGACTCAGGCCGGTCGTTCCTTGCCTCATCTCTGGAACTGTTGAAAAGAAATGATGTACTTTAAGAAGGTAGAATGTCATTTGTGCCACTGAGTTTCATGATGGGTGTTGACATCTAGTCTGGAGCGGACCAAGAGTTCCCTTTCACTCCTTTGGGAATTTATTTCAGTGAGTTGGATGCAGTGTTCTGTCCAAGTTGGAAGTTGCCCATCCGTGTGCGTCAAGTTGTCACATAACTCTTCAAAGGGCAGTAGGTTTTCAGGCCATCTTGCATTTAGCCATTGGTTTGAAGCTCATTAATGTCTTTTTACTTGTATAAACTCTCAAAATCTAATAGCTAAAACCTGAGAACTAAGTAAAACAATAAACCTCATTCCTACTTTTAGAATGTTGAGGTTTTTTATTTGAAAACCAAGCAAAAGTAAGGCCCTTCAGGGACTCCTGCAGTATCCCAGGTCCACAGAAAAAGAGTTCTTGTGTGTGGCTATAAATTTCAATCTCTTAATATTTTTAAATGTTGTATTAGAAAGGCAATGCTCTGGTCATGTTCCTTTTCACAAAGTTTTGTCTATGTGGTTTTATTCATTTTTTCCCTGAAAATCCAATGTAATGAAAGTATGTGCTATTCCAAAAGAGTAAGTGTTGGCAATTAAATCTTCTAGAAATTATTTGACCATTTTCTGGGTTTTTTATATTTTTCAGCTAACAGGACAAGTGACTTTGCAAATTGCCAATGAACCGGTTTTGCCGTTTAGTGCCCTCGACATCGCGTTAGAAGTTCAGAACAGTCTTAAAGGTAATTTTTATTAGAGGAATATTGTTCTCCATTAATACCGAGTAAAAAAAGGATCATCTACTCTCTGATTTTCAATTTCTGCTTGAAAGATAGCCAGTGATTTTACTAGTTAAATAGTTATTATGTAATGCTAAATAAAACATAGGGTGTGTTGCTAAATAAAGCCATTAAATGTTTAATTTCTTCTGACATTGCTCTGTTAGTTAAGCAATAATTAGTATTAAAATCTCATAATTACAGTCAAAGATAACAATCTCCATGACTGAACTTGATTTTAATTCCCTCTGGGCCTTTGTTTAGTACAAGCAAGAGAGGGCTTCTGATCCTGTTGCCATTTGGCTCCTTAATTTTCACAATCATCTTCCTGGTTTGGTTATTGCACCAACTCCCCTTGTTGGCAGAGCATTCTGACTTTCCTCCTTTTTCAGGCATGACAAAGCACAATAATTTACTGTTTGAGTTGATTAAGCACTGAGGCCCTGGAAGCTCTGTATTTGATCTTGCTGTGTTTGGGATGCTGGTGTGGGGAGATGGAAAAGGTTGTTCCTGGTCAGAAAGTAAATGGAAGTGACTGGTAACTGGGTCAAGACACAAATATAATTCCCACAGACTCTGGATTTGGTGTTTTTTGCTAGGTGTGGGGTGAATCCCTTCATATGAGACTGCTCCATCAAGATTGTGGAGCCATTACTGATACTCCTGTGCTGCCTTCTCGTTTCTGGCTCTTTCTGTTCTCTTGTGGCCTTTTAGGCCTTGATAAAAGAACAAACATTCTGGAGTTTTCTCATCCTGTGTTGACAACAAAACCCAATTAAGCCAATAGCCCTTGGCTTGAGGTGTTTTGGATAACACAGTTAAAGGGTGCAGTTGTGCATTCCGTTTGCTTCTGGGGACTTTTTTGGTTGTTTTTTTCCCCTCTACAGCCAGTAGAAAAATGTTGATATAAGGAACTGAACCCATGGTGTGTTACTGACACGTTCTTTGCTACTCTCTAAACTACAAAAGCACAATAAACCTTCTCTGTATTGTCATGGTTTGTGTCCTCAAACCAGGACACTTATCACCTACAAAAAGAGTATGTCTTAGCTCCACTCCTGAGGACTGAGGAGGGAGAGGATGTCTAGGTTCTAACACTGTCCAGTGTCACCCATCCATAAAAGCTTTCTCTTTCAGTATCATCTGTCTCCCTCTTCCCATTCTGTCCCCTTTCCCTTACAGTTTCCTCCTATCTTAGTGTATTCAAATGAGATGCATCTCTCCTTCCTTTTATAAGTGACTAGGGGAAAGCAGTCGGGATGTGGAGAGAGCATAAGAAGCTTAGTCCTTGGAGATTACATCTTTTGATTATTTAGCTGCCAAACTCCAACATAATTCCTTGAACGTGTACGAACTGAGATATTTCAGAAGTTGATATTCTGGTCAGAATTCAGTGAATTTAATGGCAATAGGTGCATCTTATGTGCATTATCATGAACACCTATGAAATTTGAAAGACTGTTAATTAGGACCTCACAGTGGAAAAATGTGAAATAGGTAAAACCATGTTGTTATTTCCTCATCTCCAGTTATGTCTCTGATGCAAATTACCTGCAGTGTAAAAAAGCACCTTAAAAATATAATTTTTTCTGTTTTTATATTTCTGGAACTCTCAAGTTGATCTGTTAAATAAAGATGTAAGTTCTATAAAATTACACCAAAACTGTACCTGTAGTTCAGCAGAGTGGGAGATCTTATCTCAAAGATATTTTTTCATTCTTGAGGTGTTGCCCCTGCATTTCATTCACTCCCTACAGTATAAAGTATCACTTTTCTGTAATACACATTCATAGAAGTGTGATACCTTTTCTTTAATCTTTGCCATCCATCATTGTCAAGACCCAGGAATCAGTGGGCTGTCATTGGTTGGGAATCAGTGAGCATCCAAAAAGACAAGTAATTTTAGCTCTGTTGTGCCATATAAACATTGGTTTAGTTCAGCCTAAACACAGCAGGGAATGATCATCAAATAAAAAGTGCAGCTCAGCTGGTATTTCTTCAACTGAACACGAGATATCCTGTTGTTCTTCCTTTTCTCTTTATTTTGAGTAACGGGAAATGTTGATTTAAACTGACTTTTTTTTCCTCTAACTTCAGTTAGATCATTTATCTCAACCACTTCAAGGGAGGGAAGATTATTTTCTGGGCTGTAGGGCCAGCAGGATAAATTTTCTTCCAGCTGTTCACTTTAGAGTTTTGTTTAATAACTTCTCATGACTTTCATGTCTCATCTGTCTCCAACCTGTGTCAAGTAACAGTTTATTTTCATTTTGGAAACCAATAAGACAATGATCTTTTTAGTGGTTACTTAAATGAGAAGTTGTACTTTTTAACATGGCTTGTGGATTTCTTCATTCTTCAAGAGGTTTTATGTTGTCTGAGATTTCCAGTTCAACGTTGCATTGTCTTAGTAAACTATTGCCTTCTCCAACTTGACGCAGACTTTAAATGTAGGAAAGGCAAAGGGAAATCACACAACGTGCCAGAAGATTCATTAGGCTTAATTTGGTGCCTCTAGGATCTGGTTCAGCCAATCACTTAAACATAAACACACATTTTATTGCCTGTTGGACTTTCTCACGTTCTTGAAGTTAAATCATACATGTAAGGACTTGAGTCCCAGTTTTGCAGTCTCCTGGATGTCCTCACAAAAGGATGTGTGTGTCTTAATATTCATTAATGATGCATTTATTTATGTTTCCAAAGGATTTAATTCTGTAACATGGTGGTTATCTGTACTGTTAGCTCTGTTAAATTAAATAGGATGTTAATTAGCATGTGATAAACCATTTTGTACACTCAGGATAGGCTGGATAACGGGTTATAGGGAGGTCTCATCCACAGCATGTTTAGAGATGGCTCGAGGCCTGTTCCTCAGAAAGGTGGGGAAATGGCTGTTGAGGGATGTGTTCTCTCCACTTGTGCACACCAGAACTCCTTGAAACAAGCTACTGCTTTTGGGTTTGCCTGAGAGGAAGGGTTGTGACTGGAGAGACATCTGCTGATGGTCTGAAGTTTAACAGGAAACCTTGTGGTCAGGAATGATACGCGATGGGTTCCAAGACTGAAATCCAGATCCCTGGGGCTATTCAGGCTGTTACCTGTTTGATCACAGATGTGCTGTTTTAGAGAAATTCATAAATAGGTGACAGTTTAAAATATTCCCATTAACTAGACATTGCAGTTGTGCTGTGTTTCTGCCTGTCATACATTTAAAATCCAGAACCACTGCAACTTGAATCAACTACAGGACTATCTCACTAGACCTTGCACGCTACGAAAACCCAATTTATCTTTTGAGGTAGGGCACAGACAAGATGTCAAATCTGGTCAGTGAATGATACAAATGGTTCTTTTAAGTACTTCTGTAGAAGAATTTTGTAGGTATGTGCAAGTGCAAATATATAAGCATTTGTATATAAGTATTTTGTATGCATATAAGCATTTTTATTCAAAACAAATTCTTATCATCTGTGTTTGAGCCTCTTTGGAATTCAGGATATATTACAGCAAGCTTCGGGGATTGATGATGGAGGCATTAAAGTGTTTCCTTAGGATCAAAAGTCTTTCTGTACCTTTGCACCCGAGTGACTCAGCAGCAACATGTTCAAGCACAGGGTTTACAGAAATCAAGGCAACCAGGTTTGGTGGTAGCCATGTCTCTCGCTGGGTTGCTGTTGGCTGTAGAAGTTGATATTGTTTCATTATTGTGAGTCACTGGCCCCCCAAGACTCATGCAGACCTTTCCAGTACTGGTGTCTGCTGCCCCAGTCTCACTGGTGCCTGGGTAGCCCTGGGCACAACTGCCAGGACTCCTGGTTGTGGGTTTCCTCACGGGCTGCCAGAGCAAGCAAGCAAATCAGAGAAGCCATAAGCCATCTCTAGTAGGTACTGGCTGAGAAAGGGGTAAGTTTTTCTAGTTTTCCCTGTATAAGAAGGGCAAGGGCTGTGATTTAAAGCTCTCTGGCTGCACAGTGTCAGTTGTGTGCTGCTTCCTATCAGTTAAGCCCTTCCTTCTCCCCAGAACGGATGTTTTACAGATGTTACAGCAGCTGGAGTACTTGGGGTGATAATAGTAGGCAGTGCTAGCAGGAGTTTAAAAATAATCCAGTTTATGATGAGCTATTTCCAGGGAAGTCTGCATGACTTTCCACAGCCCTGGCTCAACCCATACATTTCAAAACATCAGGCTAAACTCTCCATCCTTAGAAAAATCAATACAGAAACATATCTCTGTCATTTACTTGATGGCTGCATACTTGTAGCCTACAGCTATCAGCTAGTCTCCAGCTTGCCATCATTTTACCTGCTTGACTGTATTTCCCTGATCATTTAGGGGGCTTTTCAGTTACTTTCTCCATCTGTCTGTGATGTTCAGAACGTTTCCTTCTTCACTGTTCCCACCCATTATTCTTGATTGCTACAGATATAAAAAAAATGCAACAGTTATCTGTATGTATGATAGAAATACCTTCTTTGCTGTGAGACACTGACATCTTGTCTTCAGTATCCTTTCAAGGACATTATATATTAGTATTGCAAACCTTTCATCAGCCTTTAAGAAAACAATAATGGAAAAATGCATTTTCTATGGGCAAAGCGTTTGGTACTAACGGGAAACAGTGAAAATCTCCTCTGTATCAATAGGTATATGTTTCAGGAGCTCTGTGCAAAGTCCATGGTAACTTTCTCTGTGTTGATCTGCATAATAGTTTGTCAGAACATGCCTTTTTAATGATAAGAGATTTGTAGCAACACCAGATTAGTTTTCCTGAGCAGCAGCAGTCATGGCAGTAAAACTGAAGCGCTGGCAATGTATTCTTTGCCCTCTGGATGTCTATGGATTTGTGTTTCTACCTCCTTTAGGTACTTTCTACAAAGCTTTCCCATTCCAGTTTCCCACCGCTAGGTCTGATCATCCCATTTTGCACAGCATGAAAAACCTTCCTCATGAATCCAACAACACACCAGAGTTGATCCTGAACGTGCAAGCTGATCAAAACTGGAGCAATTCCCTGACTCTTATATACATGTTCACACACATGGAGAGAAAGTGTCGTGCTTTAAACCACTGATTTGTCCATGTTCATTCTCCTGTGGGTGCTCGTCGGCAGCTGCATTCACACCAGAGGGCACAAACACAATTTACAAATGTTAAATCTCTAGCAGTACTTTTCATAAGAGCAATCAGTTACACAGGGAAAGGCTATTGTATGCAGTGTCTGTAAAAATAAATATCTATTTGGTGTAACCTGTTTCTAAATAAAATCCAGTTACAGTTAGCAAGTGTAATGAAATTCCACAGTAGAGTTCTCTGATCAGGAGTGTACGTACTCTTGAGTCACTTTCTTGTGCTTGAAATTTTATTTATTTAACAACTAAACAACTGGCTTAGATGATTCATCATGATTCATACTGGAGACAAAAGGACAAAGAATACAAAATATAAATGATGTGGGGATGTTTTCTCTTGAGTGAAAGAACAGTTGCAGGGTTGTTGTTTTTTCATTTTCTCCGTAGAAGCATCACAAGATTTTTAAGACATTATTAGTTAATGCAGCCTTTTCTTTAAGACTCATTTGCCCTTCCACTCCCAGCTTCATAACTTGAGGAGAGCATGTGTCTCCTTTGGCACTGAAGTTCAGTGTGTTGTGGTGAAAACCACTGATGCCCTTAAAGCTGTGTCCTCTGTGGTGACACCAGCCAGAGCCACTGCCAGGGTTTCTACTGGAGCATCAAACCAGGGCCTGGGTGTTTGTTTTGTAACCGGTGCTGGTTTGGAGTGGGATGTAAACTGCTTTTTACTCATCACTCTAAAGCAAAATGCAGTTGGTTCAGGGGCAAAACGCCCTGGAGAAGGAGTGGGAGCATTTACAGGATTGTTGTGTTTAAAAGGGTGGTCTGGTTGGCTTCATTTCCACATAGAGAATGACACATTTTCCCTTTGCCTCACCTTCCCTGCTGAAAAGGCACCGCTTTTCATTTTACACATTCACCGTTGTTTGTGTGTTATTCAGAATAAAAATGATAACACTTGTGTGTTACTTGGAATACGAAGTGCTTTGCTGAAACCAAAGGATCCTTTCAAACAGGGTGAATTCAAACCTTTCCCTGCTGAGCCGAGCCCCAGGGGAAGGTGTGTGCGTTATACGCGTGGAAACCAAGTTCTTCAGCTGCACTGGATTTTTGCCTGAGGTTTGAAAATTGAGGATATTTTGCCCAATATCCCAAATGTGCCAAGTTCATGTGCTCGGAGAATGTTTTTCTGAGGCATTAACCTAATCTAATCAGACTTTAAATTACTCCGGAGTCAGTCAGAGTAACCAGTCCTGTACAATCAAGGTACTAGAGCCCCGTTACCGTTCTAATTAGGGACAGGGGGATTGGTCAAGAGCCATTGAGAAAGCAAACTTGTCCCAAACCAAGACAGACATAAACCGTCTTCTCTCACTCCAGTTGCCACGGGGAGCTTCTGTTCATTGTTAAAATTCATCTTGATGGCTCAGGAAATCTGACAGTTTCTCTCACACCGGCATCTGTCTCTCCCTGTAATTTGGATCCTTTTGTGTTTTGCTGGGTTGGAATGTGTTAGTCAGCTGAATGATGGGAGCACGGGGGATCTGTAAACTCCTTTCCCTTGGCTGAAATCTATCCAATAACAAATCTCTTTTTTCCATACGAGAGGGAGAATATGTCATATTCAGGCATTTCCTTGAATTTCTTAGTTGTACCTGTTTGCTTTTCCATCATGTTATATACTCACCTTTCAAACTCCATCCATAAATAGTTTGAGAAATGGGTTGATGTTCTCAATTTACTATTTCTGATCTCTCCATCTATCTATTAGGCAAGGAACTTTAGTATTCATTTAACTTGTATCTTGAACCACTTTGTTGGATTAATCATCTCAGTTACAGTGATACCGAACTCACTGAGGTTTGTACATTCAGCTAAAGGTGAGGCAGCTTCTAAAGCTGAGTCGTTTGGTTTGATTAAACTGTCATTTGAAAGATCTGAGGATGGTTGATTTTCTTGTCCTTAATAAGCAAAGTGAATCTTGGCCTTAAAGATAAGTTCTGCATCCTGGAAGTGTTTTTGCTGACTGATGTTACTTGTGACTTTCTATCAGGTTCAGACTCTGCGTTCTCTCTCCCTGTGCTTGTAAAAATGAAGGCAGTTTTGCAGGGGCTGGGAAAGGAGGGCAGTTTGAAAAGTTTTGAAAATAGCAACTGGATTAGAATATACATTTGGATACTAAATAGAGTGTTAGTTGGCTCAATGGCATATGATCTAAGTGATTAAGAGGAACAATTTCACATCTCCTCTCTAGCTGTTGTTAACCTCTAGGATTCTAAAATGTTGAACCACATTCAATTAAACTCTGCATATTATGATTTTCTATACAGCAGTCATTACGGAATCCAAGCACAAGCTTCCAAACTGGAGAGCAGGAGCACCAAATGACATTGAATAAATGCTGCTTCGGAAGGAAACGTTACAGTTACTGATTTATAACCCTTGCTTCCTGCATGCCTGTTTTTCCAATGGTAGATTTCAAGCTCTACCCCAAAAATCATTCCTCAGGCCTTATTAGATCTTAAAATATCACAGCCCAAATTGATCTTCTTTGAAAAATAGATCAGAGCCTAACACGCAATGATCTGTGGCTTTACTTGATCTATCGCATAATTCTCACCAGGGAAAAGAGGCCGAGGTTTTAATTGGACTATTAATTTTGGCTCGTAAGCAAGAGTAATAAGCGATGTCCTCTGAATCACTGGCAACTGTCTCTTGCCCTCACTGTTCCTAGGTGATGAAGTAGTCCCTCCTCAGTTGCTTGCAGCGGCGTCGCGCCTGAGGGACACGGCGGAGTTGTTCCAGTCCGATGAGATGCGCCCGGCCAATGACCCCAAGGAACGTGCTCCCCTCAGAGTCAGGATGCTCAACGACGTGCTGCAGGGCCTGGAGAAAAGCTTCCTGGTTCATCGAGCTCCCCCAGGACTTTACAGGTACCGTCTCCTACACGTTCTTCGTTTGACCCAAATGGCGTCTCGCGTTGCTTGGTTTTCAAAACTGTCAAACTTGTTTCAAAACGGCAGAAAACATGAATTTATTACAATCCAAGTGGTCATTAGAATGCAGGGCTGCAGCGTTTCTGTCATGACATCACTGCTAACAAGGCACACGGAGCGGTGGCAGCTCAGGCAGCACCACAGGTCCTTGTGTGAGACGGTACAGTGAGCTTTCAGGAGAAGAAAATCTTTCCAAGTCTAATACTGCTCGACAAGCTCCACCTATATTTTATTTAAAACTTTTCCAGTTCATTGAAGATTCCGCATTATCTTATATGCAAACACATGTTCACACACATGGAGAGCAAGTGTCGTGCTTTAAACCACTGATTTGTCCATGTTCATTCTCCTGTGGGTGCTCGTCGGCAGCTGCATTCACACCAGAGGGCACAAACACAATTTACAAATGTTAAATCTCTAGCAGTACTTTTCATAAGAGCAATCAGTTACACAGGGAAAGGCTATTGTATGCAGTGTCTGTAAAAATAAATATCTATTTGGTGTAACCTGTTTCTAAATAAAATCCAGTTACAGTTAGCAAGTGTAATGAAATTCCACAGTAGAGTTCTCTGATCAGGAGTGTACGTACTCTTGAGTCACTTTCTTGTGCTTGCAATTTTATTTATTTAACAACTAAACAACTGGCTTAGATGATTCATCATGATTCATACTGGAGACAAAAGGACAAAGAATACAAAATATAAATGATGTGGGGATGTTTTCTCTTGAGTGAAAGAACAGTTGCAGGGTTGTTGTTTTTTCATTTTCTCCGTAGAAGCATCACAAGATTTTTAAGACATTATTAGTTAATGCAGCCTTTTCTTTAAGACTCATTTGCCCTTCCACTCCCAGCTTCATAACTTGAGGAGAGCATGTGTCTCCTTTGGCACTGAAGTTCAGTGTGTTGTGGTGAAAACCACTGATGCCCTTAAAGCTGTGTCCTCTGTGGTGACACCAGCCAGAGCCACTGCCAGGGTTTCTACTGGAGCATCAAACCAGGGCCTGGGTGTTTGTTTTGTAACCGGTGCTGGTTTGGAGTGGGATGTAAACTGCTTTTTACTCATCACTCTAAAGCAAAATGCAGTTGGTTCAGGGGCAAAACGCCCTGGAGAAGGAGTGGGAGCATTTACAGGATTGTTGTGTTTAAAAGGGTGGTCTGGTTGGCTTCATTTCCACATAGAGAATGACACATTTTCCCTTTGCCTCACCTTCCCTGCTGAAAAGGCACCGCTTTTCATTTTACACATTCACCGTTGTTTGTGTGTTATTCAGAATAAAAATGATAACACTTGTGTGTTACTTGGAATACGAAGTGCTTTGCTGAAACCAAAGGATCCTTTCAAACAGGGTGAATTCAAACCTTTCCCTGCTGAGCCGAGCCCCAGGGGAAGGTGTGTGCGTTATACGCGTGGAAACCAAGTTCTTCAGCTGCACTGGATTTTTGCCTGAGGTTTGAAAATTGAGGATATTTTGCCCAATATCCCAAATGTGCCAAGTTCATGTGCTCGGAGAATGTTTTTCTGAGGCATTAACCTAATCTAATCAGACTTTAAATTACTCCGGAGTCAGTCAGAGTAACCAGTCCTGTACAATCAAGGTACTAGAGCCCCGTTACCGTTCTAATTAGGGACAGGGGGATTGGTCAAGAGCCATTGAGAAAGCAAACTTGTCCCAAACCAAGACAGACATAAACCGTCTTCTCTCACTCCAGTTGCCACGGGGAGCTTCTGTTCATTGTTAAAATTCATCTTGATGGCTCAGGAAATCTGACAGTTTCTCTCACACCGGCATCTGTCTCTCCCTGTAATTTGGATCCTTTTGTGTTTTGCTGGGTTGGAATGTGTTAGTCAGCTGAATGATGGGAGCACGGGGGATCTGTAAACTCCTTTCCCTTGGCTGAAATCTATCCAATAACAAATCTCTTTTTTCCATACGAGAGGGAGAATATGTCATATTCAGGCATTTCCTTGAATTTCTTAGTTGTACCTGTTTGCTTTTCCATCATGTTATATACTCACCTTTCAAACTCCATCCATAAATAGTTTGAGAAATGGGTTGATGTTCTCAATTTACTATTTCTGATCTCTCCATCTATCTATTAGGCAAGGAACTTTAGTATTCATTTAACTTGTATCTTGAACCACTTTGTTGGATTAATCATCTCAGTTACAGTGATACCGAACTCACTGAGGTTTGTACATTCAGCTAAAGGTGAGGCAGCTTCTAAAGCTGAGTCGTTTGGTTTGATTAAACTGTCATTTGAAAGATCTGAGGATGGTTGATTTTCTTGTCCTTAATAAGCAAAGTGAATCTTGGCCTTAAAGATAAGTTCTGCATCCTGGAAGTGTTTTTGCTGACTGATGTTACTTGTGACTTTCTATCAGGTTCAGACTCTGCGTTCTCTCTCCCTGTGCTTGTAAAAATGAAGGCAGTTTTGCAGGGGCTGGGAAAGGAGGGCAGTTTGAAAAGTTTTGAAAATAGCAACTGGATTAGAATATACATTTGGATACTAAATAGAGTGTTAGTTGGCTCAATGGCATATGATCTAAGTGATTAAGAGGAACAATTTCACATCTCCTCTCTAGCTGTTGTTAACCTCTAGGATTCTAAAATGTTGAACCACATTCAATTAAACTCTGCATATTATGATTTTCTATACAGCAGTCATTACGGAATCCAAGCACAAGCTTCCAAACTGGAGAGCAGGAGCACCAAATGACATTGAATAAATGCTGCTTCGGAAGGAAACGTTACAGTTACTGATTTATAACCCTTGCTTCCTGCATGCCTGTTTTTCCAATGGTAGATTTCAAGCTCTACCCCAAAAATCATTCCTCAGGCCTTATTAGATCTTAAAATATCACAGCCCAAATTGATCTTCTTTGAAAAATAGATCAGAGCCTAACACGCAATGATCTGTGGCTTTACTTGATCTATCGCATAATTCTCACCAGGGAAAAGAGGCCGAGGTTTTAATTGGACTATTAATTTTGGCTCGTAAGCAAGAGTAATAAGCGATGTCCTCTGAATCACTGGCAACTGTCTCTTGCCCTCACTGTTCCTAGGTGATGAAGTAGTCCCTCCTCAGTTGCTTGCAGCGGCGTCGCGCCTGAGGGACACGGCGGAGTTGTTCCAGTCCGATGAGATGCGCCCGGCCAATGACCCCAAGGAACGTGCTCCCCTCAGAGTCAGGATGCTCAACGACGTGCTGCAGGGCCTGGAGAAAAGCTTCCTGGTTCATCGAGCTCCCCCAGGACTTTACAGGTACCGTCTCCTACACGTTCTTCGTTTGACCCAAATGGCGTCTCGCGTTGCTTGGTTTTCAAAACTGTCAAACTTGTTTCAAAACGGCAGAAAACATGAATTTATTACAATCCAAGTGGTCATTAGAATGCAGGGCTGCAGCGTTTCTGTCATGACATCACTGCTAACAAGGCACACGGAGCGGTGGCAGCTCAGGCAGCACCACAGGTCCTTGTGTGAGACGGTACAGTGAGCTTTCAGAAGAAGAAAATCTTTCCAAGTCTAATACTGCTCGACAAGCTCCACCTATATTTTATTTAAAACTTTTCCAGTTCATTGAAGATTCCGCATTATACAAGATACAGGGTAGCATTATTTAACATATTTAATTATATAGTAGTGTTCTTGGGCACATTTCAACCCAAGAGCAGTGGAGTGAATGAGAGGGCCTCGGTCAGTCACCATTCATAACATCCTGTCTCTGGTTGGAGTTATTCTCTGGTATGTGTTCAGGTGTGCTACCCAGGTTGATTTGAAGGTATCATCATTCCATCGTTCACTTTTTAAGAAGTCTAAAGGGCTGTATCTCTCACCATAGGTTGCTTTACAAAGAAAAACCTGATGGCAATCAGTAGCTTGAAAAGAGTTTGCAAAGCAAATTTCAGGGGAAACCGGTTGGCATACTCAAAAAAGAGACCGCAGAAGTAACCAACACACTTATACACACAGGAGACAGAGAGGTGAATGAGGCATAGTCTAAAGGTCTGTATCTCTCACCATAGGTTGCTTTACAAAGAAAAACCTGATGGCAATCAGTAGCTTGAAAAGAGTTTGCAAAGCAAATTTCAGGGGAAACCGGTTGGCATACTCAAAAAAGAGACCGCAGAAGTAACCAACACACTTATACACACAGGAGACAGAGAGGTGAATGAGGCATCTCTGTTAATTAGGAATATAAATGTACTTTCAACCAGAACTAGCAAAAGTAATAAAACAGAACTTCATTGCACTTGATAGGAAAAATTGACAATTTTTTTGTGGAAGTGATTGCTTCAAAAGGGACAAAATAGACAGGTGGTAGAGGTAGGATTTGGAAAAAAAGCAGAAAGCTGTAGCATCAGGAGGAAGAGATTCTTCCAAAGATTAGGGATGGAATAATACAAACACAGTCATCTTTTAACAAAAAGAAAAGAAAAGAAAAAATAGGAAAAAAAAGGAAGGTAGTTGTGGTGAACTCAACAGTGTCCACAGATATAATCCCTACAGCCGTAATAAAGAAAAAAATAGTAATATTTGGGGAGGGACTAAGTTGCTTCATTCCTGCTGTGACTGGATTTATCATATAAAGAAATAACCAAAATTTGATTAAATAAAGTCCAATATTCCAGGTTTAGCACTGTTGTCTTTCTCGCTTTCTCGTCTGAAGCAGTGTGGTGTTGCAAAGGAGCCATAAAAGTACTTCATAGAATGTAATTGTGTCCATGTTGCATTGCAATTGTTCAATCTGGCCCAATTCTTTATTTGTGAAAAGAAATTATACCAAACCTTGGGATTCCAGTAAGAGCATTCTTTGAGGTCTTTCAATATTTAAATTCTTGCAACGCTTTTGTAATATTACCTTTGTTATTCATCAGGTTGGGATCACTTAGCGATATGGTTTAGTGGTGGTTTTTGTCAGTGTTGGGTTGATGGTT